AGAAATGTAATGAGACATATGGTGGAAGTATGATTAAACTCATTGAGCAGAAGGCCAACAGTTTCTGCTATTTGGTTCACTAGATCGATACTGGAGATGTCTGGAGTCCATTCCTATATAGGGAAGAAAATGCCACACAAGAATTCATTCAAAGAATCGATCAAGAGCTGGTCAAAATCAATGAGATTCTAGCCATCAAACATGAGCGAATTGAGACTGAAGAAGACAAGAAAAGATTTGCTAATGCTATTAACTGTTGGATTTGTAAAGGTAAGTTTGATATCGATATAAATGAAATTGAATACCTAGAGAACAAAATAACCAATCTTAAAGAGAAGCTAGAAAAGTTTAAAAAGGGTTCAGCTGAATATAATGGCATCAAAACAACCATTGATAAAGTGACTAAGGCAATTGCTAGCGAAAAAGCTAAAGCCAATAAGCAGTGTATAAAATCTATATTAAATTTATGTGTACAAATTGTACAAATTGATTAATTATTACTAAAATAAGAAAATCATAACATTTTCTTATATAAAATTACCTTTTTTATATATATTTTATCTATTTTTAGTAATAATTTGTGCATATTTTATGTTGTATAATATGTGTACACAAAAAATTAATGTGCACATGTGCATATTGTGCACATAGATTTTACACACTGCTAATAAGGTCTGGGATCATTGTCATATTACAGGTAATTTTCGTGGATCAGCCCATAGGGATTGTAATCTTAAACTCCAAATACAGAATTAAAAGACCCAATTCCAGTTATATTTCACAACTTTCGAGACCATGACTCTCACTTGATTTGTGAGTCTGTCGGGCGATCAGCTAATGCTCTTCATATACAAGTTATAGCCGAAACATTTGAGTGATATAAGTCTATGAAGGTAGGTCAACTCAAATATATAGATAGCATGCAGTTTATAAATAGTAGCTTGGCCAGTCTTACAAAAAATTTGGGTGATAACCACCCAATAACAAGCCAATATTTCAAAAAATTAAGTTATACAGAAGAGCAATTAGCATTAGTATATCGCAAAGGAGTTTATCCCTATGACTATATCAATTTTCATGATAGGTTTCAGGAGACAGAACTTCCTCCTATTTATGAATTTAATAGTACTCTTAAAGGTAAGATTTCACAAGATAACTACAAATACGCCCAAAAAGTATGGAAGGAATTCAGATGTAAAAATCTAGGTGAATACCAATATCTCTATCTTAAAACTGATGTACTTAGTCTAGCAGATATCTGGACAGAATTTTGAAAAATGTCTATAGAATATTATGAACTTGATCCCAGTCACTATGTTTCTGCCCCATCACTATCCTAGGATGAAATGCTTAAGATGATAGGAGTTAGGATCGAACTTTTCACAGATATAGCTATGCATGATTTTACTGAAAAAGCTAAATGTGATGGTATATCTATGGTCTGTCAATGATATTTTAAGGCCAATAATCTTAAGATGGGAAAGGAATTTAATGAATTTAATTTATCCAAACCCACATTTTGGATTTCATATGTAGATGTAACAAATCTTTATGAACATTCTATGAGCCAATATTTGTCTATCAGAAATTATCAATGGGAAATTAATTGAGAATATTTACTAAAAAATCCAGCTATACAGAAGAAATATCTTGAAAAGATTTTTATTATACGATTTGATGCTAAACGTGGATTTTACTTAATGATTAATTCCCATTTTCCTCTAAAGACTCATGAATATTTAAAAGACTTGCCTCCAGCTGTGGAAAATGTCATTCTAGAAAAGGATTGGTTATGTTCTTATAATGCTAAACTTGTAGAATAATTAGATAGTGGACGCTTTTCTGTTACAGAAAAATTAGTTTCCCATCTTAGATCACGAAAGAACTATGTTATTCATTACCTGAAGCTTCAATACTATGTGGAATTAGGTATAGTTATAGATGAAGTTTCAGAGATACTCTTCTTCGACCAGACTAACTGGCTTGAACCATATATATCTTTTAATACTGAGAAACGTAATGAGGCTAAAAAAGCTGGAA